GAGAGAGAAAGAGAGAGAAAGGAAGAAAGAAAGAAAGAAAGGAAGAAAGAAAGAAAGAAAGAAAGAAAGAAAGAAAGAAAGAAAGAAAAAGAGAAAAGAAAAAAGAAAAAAGAAAGAAAAAGAAAGAAAGAAAGAAAGAGAGACACTTCTGGTGTCATTAAGAAACCTCATTTAAAAACTCACCTGTTCCAGGCATGGTGCTATGGATAGGAGGGACTGAGAGGGGGCCCAGAGACCCTGAGGGAGAGACCTGAAAGGCAAGAGAGACTTGTAAGTGTCCATTCTCACTTCCTTCTCTAACTGTGGATGCTTTTCCCAAGATGCTGGACCCCAGACTACAGAGAACAGGTTTTCCTGGGTGGTTTCCTGTCTCTAAAACCTATATAGCACTCCATCTTCCTTTCCATAGGGAGGCTCTAGGTCACGTACAGCTATTTACCTCCAGTTCTGGTCTGCTCTGGAAGGTCTGTGGTGATGACACCACACCTGCCTTCCCCTCTTGTGCACTCTGCAAGGTTTCTTTGGCACTGTCAGGCCACGGACTGCCTTGCCCAGTGCCCTGCTGATGAGAGAAGCCAGCCTCTGGGGCCCTACTCTGGTGGATGCTGCCAGTTGCCCACTTCATTTCCGGTCCCCATTTCTCCTTTGTGAAGGAGCACTGCCAGTGCTCAGGGCGGTGCAGCACCAATGCTAGCAACGCTGCTTCAGGCCTGCCCTCCCTGCTAGATAAATGGATCACAGAATCTCCAGAGATAGCTGGAATGGCTGAACATTGGTCTCTGGAGCTTTTCATTTTGTCCTGGAAATGTCGTAGCATCAACTCTGAGATTAGAAAGGGACTTAGTACCAACTTGACATGATAAGTGTATTCATTATGGATCACTAACATGTACTAACAAAAAAAACAAAGACTAAAAATAATTGTTTAAAAAATTAAGTTTATGCTGGGTGCGGTGATGCATGCCTGCAATTCCAGCACTCGGGAGGCTGAGGCAGGAAGATCGTTGTGAGTTCGAGACCAGCCTGGGGTACAAAGTGAGCTCAAGGTCAGCCTGACCTACATAGCAAGAACATGTCTCAAAAAAAAAAAAAATTTAACCTCCCATGTAGCTCAGGTAACTCCTCACTATTGCTATCCTAGAACAATATCCCAGAACAAGATGTAATAAAATTAAAGGACAGAACAGGCATGGTGGCACACCCCTGTAATCACAGCACTCTGGGAAAAGGAGGAAGCAGGATCACTAATTTGAGTCCAACCTAGGCAACATACTAAATTAGCAAGACTCACTCTCAAAATAAAAAGTAAAAAAGGCTGGGGATATAGCTCAGTGCAAAGGCCCTCGTTCAGTCCCCAGTACTATAGGAAAAAAATAAATGAAATAAAAAGATGGGCAGATTGGAGACCTGGCCCCATCGTTCACCATCTGCATGACTTCAGGCAAGTTACCCAACCCCAATGAAATTTCATTTTCTCATCTGTAAAACAGCAGCAGCACCTCCTTGATATTTTCTTTTAATTAAGATTTAATGAGCTAATGTCCATAAAGCTTCCAAGCCAATGACGGGCAAAGAGCTCGTTAAGTATTAGTGCTCTTCCTTCCTGAAGGAATAAGCTAAAGCAGCTATACCTCTCCAGATGCTTTTTAACTCTGCACTGGAGCTGGAACTTTCATGCTTCACTCCCTCCCCTCCCTTCTCATGCTGACAGGGAAGCTCTGAGCAGTGTTTTCAAAGGATGTTGACAGGCACCTGTAATGTGATGATTCCTCCCTGTCCGGATCGGGACCATCCCATCCTAACAGGATGCAGCATGTTCTCGTTTCCTAATTAATCAGCAAATGTTCTCACTGCTTTCATTTACCTTTCCTTTTACAATGAACCTCCTCAGTAGGCTGGGGCCTGATGAAGGGTGGAGACCAGTGTGGGGCAGTTTGGGAGGGGTGGTGAAGTGGTAAGAGATGTTATCGACATTTTCCCTTCCCTTTTTCCTCCCCTCCCTGGTGCCACACCCAAGAAATTTGTTGTTGTTTTCAAATAAATAAAAAATGCATGTAGTCACTGTGGCCAGCTCCTTCCACTGCCTTCTAAAGAGAGGCTATGCATATGCAAACATACACTTATACAGTTTCCTGTATTTTATTTTTTTATATACACCACTAGCAAAATGATTCCCATACCAGTCTGTTCCATTTTGCCTCCCCCAGCCCCTTTTTCTAAATGAACTGGATAAACCAGGGATGGTGGCACATGCCTGTAATCCTTGCTCTTGGGAGGCCTAGGCAGGAGGATCATAAAGCTAATCTGGGCTATATTCTGAGACACTGTCTCAAAAAAAACCAAGAACAATAATTGTAATAAACTGTATATCTATGAGATCATTTCATATCAGAAGCAAAATAAAACCATGTTCTTGTCCCATTGAGATCTGAGCAAGAGATGGTGAGAAAAGTTTTTCAAGTGTTAGTGTAACTATTTAATTAATGTCTTTCTCCCCTCTGAGGCTATAGACTTCACAAGGTTAAGATAATGCCTATGCACTGTTGTACTCCCAGTACCTTCCACAGTGTTTGGAAATGGGCAGATGCTTGAGAAAAAGGTGTTGAATGATTGTTGATAATGAAAGAGGTTCTTTCATCATTTCTATGCATCTGAGTTGCCTTGGTGGGAAGTAAACCAATGCTAGAACCTACCTCCCACCAAAGGAAAAGCCAGAAAAAGCAAGAAACTGCTACCAAGTGGATATGGAGGATGTTGGGCAGGGGTGAGCCCCACCAGACTGTGTGATAAGAACACAGATGAAAGACATTCAAATCAGAATGGGGTCAAGGAGGCTGGACACACTGAGCTACAACCCCAGCCTTTGTTTTTTTTTTTTTTTTTTTTTTTTACTTTGAGACAGTCTTCTAAGTTGTCTAGGCTGGCATCAAACTTGCCATCCTCCTGCCTCAGCCTCCCAAGTGGCTGGGATTACAAGCATACATCACCACATGTACAGCCCAAAGGTCCACATTTAAAGACTGAAGTTCTTATGGCACAAACCACATTCCTTAATGTGGCCTACAATACCCTCAAATCCAGCCCTCTCTACCTCTTTACTCACACTCCTTTACTCCCTGGTCTCCACCCATCCCAGCATGCATGCTTCCTTTTCTCTCTATCCCACCAGCCTCAGAATCTATGTATACAATTTCCTCTGCTACAACTTGCTCCCGCCTGCACCCCTAACTCAGTTACTTTCCCCATTCATGTCAGTGGTGAATTCATTTTTCCAGGACCAGTTAAACATCATCCCTCACAGAACTCTTGACACAGTGGTTTGGGTTATGTGCCTCTGATACCTCCATACTTTCCCTGAAGCTCATCACAAGGAGCATTTATTCAGTGCCTGTTTTCCCTGCTAGGCTGTAAGCAAAGATTATGTGTGTGTGCTACTATATCCCTCGTATCATCATACAGTGAATATTTAAGGAAGCAATGATGAATGACTACCATGTTGCCTCCAACTTAAAATGTTAAATGGTTTTTCATAGCTTTTAGGTAACTTAGCATCCATGGCCCACCATGATCCATGATCTCTTCATCAACCTCTCTCAGGCCCTTGGCTCTGCTCTGACTGATGTGCATGTGTTTTCCAAAGGCACTGAGTTGTTTTATAATTGCATGCCTTCTCAAGGGCTGGCCCTTCTGCCAAGTATGCTATTCTTTAAACAAATCAGGCAGTTATCCTTCTCAATTTCTTCCCTTGATCCTCTTTCTTTTGCCATTCTCAAATGCTGGTACCTCCCCAGGGCTTAGGTGTGGTCCTTCCACACAAACTACACAGGTAAGCTCCTCTTTACACAGGATTTCAACTATCACCTTGTATGCCTGTGACTCCTCAGTGCATGTCTCCACCCCAGCTTCTCTCCTGACCTCCAGACCCATCTTCCTAGTGTCCAGGGTCAGTCCCACTTAAGTGTCCTACAGTTCTTAGTGTGCATTACCATAATGTGCAGTCCTGAAATCATCACTCTTTGCCGCTCCCAAACCAGCTCCTCCTATTTGCCTGTTTGAGACACAACACTAGCGTCTACCCAATCAGCCACACCCAAGCACTCAGTCTCTTGTAGGATTCTCTTTCCTTCATCATTCTCCCTCCCCCAGCCAACTTTCAATTTATTAACCACGACCTTCTAATTATCTGTTGACTTTCTCCCATCCCCTCTCTCTTACCATGTGGGTTTTCTTTATCCTCATTAGTTCTCTACTGGATAACTGTAGTTATATCCTATCTTGTGCCTCTCAGGCCATCCTGCATCCTGTACTTAAAGTGATCAGCCTTAAAAACAAATCTGATCATGCTGGTTCCCTGCTTAAAATCCTTCAGTGACTTCCCCAACCTCATTTCCTTGGCAGTGCACACCCTACCTCACTGTCTCACCCCTTGTCCAGCCTCGTCTTGCAACATTCCTCCATATGCAGCCATGTGCACTTTTATGAATGTGCCTCCCATCCTCCCTGCTCTGTGCCACTGTCGCATGATTCTCCCTGGTGAAAAGTCTACCTCATAGTCATTTGCGTCTCATTCCTTGTACTTTCAGACTCAGCTCAGGTATTAATGACCTCCTTGGGGAAGTCTTCCTAACTACCACCTCCCAAGGCTTATTAGCTGCTGCTAAGTTTGCCTAGAGAAATGATCACTTTGTTTATCATTTGTTTACTTGTCTGTCTCTTCTGCTAGGCAATGAGTCCTCCAGGACAGAGAACAAATGGTATTTATCTTTGTATCCCAGCACTCAGCACAAAGACCAATGTACAGAAGATGGTCAATAGATAGTTGGTGAAAATCAACACTGAACAATCTTTAAGAAATTGCTTTGTCCTACCTGGACAGTGCTTAATTTCAACCATCCCAGAGCACTGGAATACTTGAGGACATCACCACCCCAACTCCTTAACCTTCAGCCATCACTGTTCCCATAGATAGAGAATTGTCCTACCCCTACCCTGAAGGTGCCATCTCTCCCTGGATGGAGAAGATACTTCCTATTCCCTCAACTTCCACTTCTGCCTGACACTCCAAATTATCCCCTGTCCTGGCTTTTCCCTTGAACATATGAGTCACAGATTTTCCCCCTGCACTGGGGACTTAATCCAGGCCCATGAACATGCTAGACAAGCACTTTACACTGAGCTACACCCCTGGCCCCTTTCATTTTATCTTGAGACAGGGTCTCCCTAAGTCACCTAGGCTGGCCTTGAATTTGTGATCCTCCTGTCTCAACCTCTTGACTAGCTGGTTTATAGGCATATGCCTCCATGCCTGACTTAATTCCTTCCTTGGTACTTCCTCTCGGGTGCCTAATAGGCATGTCCAACTTAATATGACCAGTGCCAAATTCTTCCTGCATTTTAGAAAGATAGTAGTGCCTTCTAACTAGCTACCCAGTTTCCAAATATTTGAAGAGATCTTTGCTTCGTTCCTCATATTCTACATCTGAGCTCTCTGATACGCTCCACAACTGAAGTATACCCAGAATCCAAGCAAGTCTCTGCTCCAGCCACACTGGCATCCTTGCTGTACCTCTTTTTACTTACTGGTCCCTCTGCCTGAAATACTCTTTGCCCCAGATATCCACAGATACCATTAAAACTGTTAGATCTTTGCTCAGATGCCACTTGTCAGAGAAGTCCTCTCTGATCTTAGTAAAAAGGCATCTCCCTCATTCACTTCCTGTTCCTTTACCCTTTTAAAGTCTTCTTTAAGTCTTCTTGATATGATATCATCTGAGTAGTTAAACATAGTGAATATTTAAATGAAAAATTTATTACAGTAAAAGATATATTGCTATTAATCCTCCTCAAAATACTCCCCCTTGCTTTGAACCTACAAATCCCCTCATTCTTGCCACTTTCTGAAGCAGTTCTAGCAATCCTCTTGAGTATCTTTTTTTTTTTTGTCTTTTTGAGACAGGGTCTCACTATGCAGTTCAGGCTGGACTTGAGCTCACCTTATAGCCCAGGCTGGTCTCAAACTCACAATAATCCTCCTGCCTCAGTCTCCCGAGTGCTGGGATGACAGGCGTGCGCCACCATGCCCGGCCTCTTGAATGTCTTTAGTTGAACTGTTGTAGCTTCCTTGATGTCCTGAACTGATTAAAAACATTCACTTTTCATGGTCATTTTGACTTTGGGGGAGAGCCAGAAGTTGCATGGTGCCAGATCTGGTGAGTAAGGTGGGTAAGGACACGCTGTAATGTTTTCACAAGTCTGTCTTCCCATTGGCTGGTACTCAGTAGCAGCATTCACTGTATTTTTTATCATACCTCATGAAGATGTGAAAGAAGCTTCAGAACTGCTTCACAAAGTAGAAAGGATAATGGGCCAAGTGTGTTCAAAGCAAGTGGGGTATTTTGAGGGGAGTAATGGTAATGTGTCTTTTACTGTAATAAAATATTTACTGATGTATTTTTATCACACAATAAATATTTGCTTATAAATATAAATGATCATTCATGCTCTGTAAACCCCACCCTCCACCTTCCTGGGATGGAGGAGACTCTGCCCTACAGGCCTCATATCCCCCACCCCTGAGCTTGGCAGACAGCTTGATTCCCGACCACTCACCAGTCGGGAATTGTAGATGGGTGATTTGACAGGCGTGGGCACAGGACAGTTGATTCGTTTCTCCTTTTGGCGCCGGTTGCAGAACCAGACCCTCACCACCTCCTTCTCCATGGACAGCTGCTCTGCAATCATGGAGATCTCTTCTGAGCTGGGTTTGGGGTTCTACAGGGATGAAGACATGAGTGTGGTCAGAAGGAGCTGGTGCTCCAAAGAAGTAGGATTGAACTATGTATGGATCAAAAGCTTTAGGGTTGAACCTAGCATGGAAGTCTGCACTTATCACTTACTTACTGTGTATCATTAGGAAAATTTTTTCTTTTGTAAATCTATTTTTGTCAGTGCCTATTAACTTAATAAAATACTGGACTTCAATGTATATATTTTGATCAGATCCACCTACCCCTAGCCTTCTGTTATGCCCCCTCCCTTTTATTCTCGTCCTCTTATCTAATAATATCCTCCCTTCTACTTTCATGTCATTTTCACATTTTAGATTCCAAATAGTGGGGAGAACATGTGATACTCATCTTTCTGACTCATTTCTCTTACTTAACATGACGATATCCAGTTCCACCCATCTTCTTATAAATGACAAGATTTTTCTCAGAATAATATTTCATTTGTGTGTACACACACCACATTTTCTTTATCCATTCATCTGTTGATGGGCACTTAGAATGCTTCCATAGCTTGGCTATTGTGAATTGCTCCACAATAAATATAGGTATGCAGGTACAGGTATCCCTATAAAGTGCTCACTGTAATTCCTTTGAGTACACACCAAGGAGTGGTATAACGAAATCAAATGGTAGCTCTATTTTTAGTGTTTTGAGAAACCTCCCTACTTATTTCCATGGCTGCTGCATTAATTTATATTCCCACCAGCAGTGTAGAAGTGCCTCTGCCGCATCCTTGACAATACTTTTTTTTTTAATTTTTGATGATGGCCATTCTCACTGAGGTAAGATGGACTCTCAATGGAGTTTTGATCTGCATTTCCTTAATGGCAAAAGATTTTGAACATTTTTTCACATATTTACTGGCCATTTGTACCTCTTCTTTTGAGAAATGTCTGTTTAACTCATTTGCCCATGTACTGATTGGGCTACTTGGTTTTTTGGTGTAAATTTTTGGAATTCTTTATATATTTTAGATACTAATGGAATAGTAATTGGCCAAGGTTTCTTTCCCATTATACTGGATCTTCATTCTGTTAGTTGTTTCCCTTGCTGGGCAGAAGCTTTTTAACTTGATGTAATCCCATTTGTTGACTCTTGCTGTTATTTCTTGTGCTATTAGAGTTTTATTCAGGAAGTCTTTGCCCATGTTTATAGCTTCAAATGTTTCTCCTATGTTTTCTTCTAGTAGTTTAAAAATATTAGATCTTATACCTAGGTCTTTGATCTACTGTGAATTAGATTTTTGTACAGGGTGAAAGATAGGGCTCTATTCTTCTACACATAGATATCCGTCTTTCCTAGCACCGTTTGTTAAAAAGACTCTTCTCTTCAATGTGTTTTTGGTTTCTTTGTCAAGAATCAAATGGCTGTAGCTGTATCTGTTTGTTCCTCTGTTCTGTATTATATCCTGTTGGTCTATGTGTCTATTTTTGTGCTGTTACCATGCTATTTTTATTACTCTGGCTTTGTAGTAAAATTTGAAGTCAGGTGTTGTTTTGCTTAGGATTCTTTGGACTATTCTGGATTTTTTGTGTTTCTATATGAATTTTAAGAGTTTTTTTTCCTGTTCTGTGAAGACTGCCTTTGGAATTTTGATGATGATTGCCCTGACTCAGTAGATCACTTGTGGTAATGTGGCCATTTTAATAATATTAATTCTGCCAGTTTGTGAGGTCATTCTATTTTCTAGTGTCCAGTTCAACTTCCTTCTTCAGTGGCCTGTGATTTTCATTGTAGAAGTCTTTCCCCTCCTTGTTTAAGTTAATCTCTAGGTATTTTTTGTTTTGTTTTGTTTTGTTTTTCTTCCAGTACTGGGAATCGAACTCACGATCTTGTGCTTTCCAGGCAGGTGCTGTGCCACTGAGCTAAATCCCCAGCCCCTCTCTAGGTATTTTTTGAAGCTATCATGAATAGAATTGTTTTTCTTTTTCTTTTCTTTTCTTTTCTTTCCTTTTTTTTTTTTTTTTTTTGGTACCTGGAATCAAACTCAGGACCTTGTGCTTGCCAGATAGGCACTTATGCCATTGAGCTATATCCCTGGCCCTGGAACTGTTTTTCTGATTTCTGTTTAGTTGGTTCATCATTGGGATATAGAAAAGCTATTGAGTTTTTAAGGTTCATTTTGTATTCTGTCTTTCTTCCTGTGTGGTACTATGGATTGAACCTGGGGCCTCAATATATTCAGCAAGTGCCCTACCACTGAGCTATATAACCAGCTTGTATTCATATTCATATTTATAATTTTAGGGACAGTTGCCCAGGCAGATCTTGAACTTGCAATCCTCCTGTCTTAGCCTCCCCAGTCGCTGCAATTACAGATGTATGTTACCGCTGATTTTAATTCCTTCAGATATATACCAGTTTCATCTACACAATGAGAATGAGAGTGCCTACCATGTAGGATTATGGTGAAGATTAATTGAGAAAATGAGTGGGAACTACCAGGCACAGGGCTGACATAGGATAGAGATTCCATAAAAGTGCACCTCTTCTCACATTCCCTCCCTCAGCAGCAGTTATGAAGAGAAGGTTCATGGATGAGTTATGAGGGCCAGGGAAAAAAAAAACTCTGCAGAAATAAGGTTTCCCTCAAGTTTTTTCCCTCAATCTCGTATCCTCCCTGTCATCTCTTCCTAGAAAACGAGCAAATTAAAACTCTCATATTTGTTAAATCTGCAGGATAGCAATATTGTACATAATATGAGAGCACCATGCCCTTGCTGGGACTCCTCCCAACCCAGTCTATGGTCTGAGCCCATTTCTCCACACTCCTGCGCCCTCCCTTAGCCGTGCTGCTCTGAAAAATCTAAAAAGAGGGACAAGTCAGCTCTTGTTGTCCTGCCAGAAGAACATAGTCATCCAGTCCTTATGCAGATGCACAGGGGATCCGCTGAAAGGGTGGTAGTCTTGGGAGCCAGGCCCAGCAAGGCTGGACTAGGCCCCAGGCCCTGGAGACCTGCAGTACTTCGGAAGCTCCACAGGCTGGACCCTGAGGGATCCTGACTAGAAGCTTTTCAGCCCTCATCCGTTTTCCTCTCTTCTCTACCCCAGCTCCCATGGGGCTCACAGCTACACATTGCTTCAGGAATATGATTTTGCTACAAGTTCAAAATAATATGGAATCATATGGAATATGATCACAAGTATTTAAATGTGCACAAAAAAAGGAATAGAAGAAAGAATATTCAGATGGCTTTAAAATTGTTTTTTTTCTTTCTACTTCCTGCTTTGTATTTTCCAAGTTATTTAGAATGAGCATTTATTACTTTTTTTTTTCAGTACAGAGGGATTGAACCTAGGGAGCACTGAACTACAACTCCAGTCCTTTTATCTGTTTGTTTTATATTGTTTTGTTTTTATTTTTCAAGATAGAGTCTTGCTAAGTTACCCAGGTTGGCCTAGAACTTGGGATTCTCCTGCCCTAGTCTCCTGAGTAACTGAGATTATAGGAGTAAACCACCATGACTGGCTTATTACTTTTTAAATAGAGAATACGCAAAATTTATCTCAAAGAAAATAAAGAATTATATACAATGCCCTGTCTTGGTTCCCTTTACTTCAGCTGGATATAAAAATACACTGTCTTCTGGAACGCCATATTTCAGTCTTTAAATCTCCCAGTGAGAGGCACAAGGGGCCCCATATAAACTTCCAAGCAAGAAGACTCAGTGAGGGGAAGAAGCTTCTGGAACCTTAGATGAAGGGCCACCTCCCACTCCAATCTCTGGGCACCAGGAGAGGGCTGGTGACTTGGCCTCTGACCATCTCCCAGCAGGTGCCCGGCCTCCTACTGTACTGTGCTTGCTTAGCCACCTGCACAAGTTGGCCCACCCACTCCCACCCAAGGAAACTGCTCACATCCTGAAATCTCTTCTCCAGAGTCAGGCGGATGTTGGTCTCAATGCTGGTCCGTTTCTTCCTCTTCCTGCCAAACACTTCACTGAGGGTAGGGTAAGAGCTGGGTGTGCTCACTGAGGGGTCTGACGGAGACGACTCTGGAGGGAAGTGAAGGAACAAAGGGAACTCAGAGGAAGGGGCTGGGTGGCCGGGTTAGGCCCTGCCCTAACAGACTGGAGGTCCAACATTCCTTCCCAGTGGGTTCCGCAATAGCATTTTGAGGACAAGCCCCTTCCCCCAGCAGGGAACCCCAAACAGACCAAGACTCTCGCTTCTTCTTGTTGCTCAGGGCAAAGGTCCTCCATGCCTCCCACCGCAGAATCCCCAGTGTTTGCGGTCATGGTTCAGGGAAGCCCAGGCATCAGTGGCATGTGTGGGTGTGAGTGGGCACAGGCAGGGCTCCTACAAGTAACATTAGCCAGTCTGTCTTTTATAAATATGTCTGGATGTGAATACCGAGTACAGTGGGAAACGGCCTTCTGAGAGTCAAAAGCACTGGTGCTTGGTGGCAGAATGTTGATGCTGAAACTCTTTGTTCACCAGTACAAGTATTGGAGCTAAGGTGCAGAATGGACAGGAGGGATGTGCCTCTGGAAAGGATCAGGGGTCAGGTGTCAGGGTGAGGGATCCCACTAGAAATGTTCTACAAAGCCTTTTCCCAAAGATCTCAGGACCCTCTGATCACTTCTTTTACTTCAGTGGTTCAATCAGTACTGTCTCAGGGACAGCCTGTTGAGGCAAGTGGGGGAACTTCTTTGTTGCCTCCCATGCTGCATGAGGGACTTCCTTGAGGGTCACGCTGCTGGCTGCCACCTTGGCCTTGGTGCCCCTTCCACAGTAAACACCAGCCCATATACATCAACTGAACAGAACCCAGGCCTGGATTCTGGCCCCTTCTCTCTCCACATAGGCCAGGGGCTCTCAGTCAGAGACAATACTCTTCACCATCACCATTCCTTCTGGGGGCATTGGGCAATGTCTGGAGACATGTTGGGACACCTCAACTGGGGGCAGGTGCTGCTGGTAACTAATGGGTAGAGACTGAAGATGCTGGTAACTATCCTACAAGGGCCACCCCCTCCCAAAGATTTATCTGGCCCTAAATGTCCACAATGCAAAGATTGAGAAACCCTGCTTATGCCTGTCCTCTGATGCCAAACTCTTCTAGTCAACATTCCAAAACCATGGTTTATACTCTTCACCTCCTGGAAGGACTGGATCCTGTCTGAATCCTCCTGAAAACCCCTCTCCTGGTATAAGACTTTCCCAGTTTGTCTAGATCACAGTCATTGGCTAGGCTCTGAATCCTGCTCCAGAACTAGGCAGGTAAAAACCCTGTGCTGTGCTTATGATACCCCCATCCAGGGCCCACTGCCCTATCTCCTTGTCCTAGGTCTATTCTAGACAGGAATGTTGCACATGTGTCTGCTCCACAGACCCAAGTTTTGTCTCCAGGGAGTTGCCTAGGATATGTAGATCTAGGGTGAGCAATGGAATAGAATAGGAACAAGTCTGTATGGTCACAGACCTAAAACCATGTCCTCCAAAGGATCTTCTTTCTCAGTAATAATGGCAATATTTTCACCTTTTCTTGCCTGTATCCCATGTCTTATTTCTCAATTGTTTCTAAGCTCAGGAGAAGAAAGAAGGGGTGCTATGTCTTGACCCTCTAAAGCTCCAAAACAGACAAGTCATTAAAGTAATCCCTATGGAATCCTTGGGGCCACTCCTGCTCATTCCCCAGAGGTCTACCTGCATCATTCAGCCACTTCTCCAACAGGGGCTTGAGCTTGCACATGTTCTTAAAGCTCAGGTTGAGGGCCTCGAACCGTGAGATGGTGGTCTGGCTGAAGTCATTGCCATACAGCTTTCCCATCGCCAACCCTACATCTCCCTGTGCAAGAGATGGAAAGTGAGGAATATGAGAGGCAGGCCTGTCCTCTTCGCCCACATCTCCCTCCACCCTAGTTCATATTGTACATCCATTCAGACCCCAAGGCACCCACCTTAGCTCCTTTCTAAGTCTTTTCCCTCTAGGAGGGACAATTGGTTTATTTCTCTCCCTAGACTCAGTGGGCTGTGCTCTCCCTGACATTCATTCCTCTCCCCTCCACCACCAATGTCCTCAGTTTCCCTTCTACTGGCAACATGCCCTGTTCTCAGGGAACTCAGGGACATGATGGGCCTTCTCCAAATACGTTGAGCCTTGGGTTACTCTTGCACCCACCACTAGGGAAATTCAATACTCATTCACTCAATTGCTTCCATCATCCTTCCCCTAAACCAAACCTGTGTGAAGCCCAGCTTGATGCGTCTCTGCTTGAAGGTCTTGGCAAACTTCTCCAGCTCCTCCAGGTCGCTGGGCTCATCAGCCCCTCCAGAACTAGGTAGATGTTTAGGTGCTGGGAGATGCTGTGATGCTTCTAGGTGGGGTTCTAAAGAGGATCCTGGCAGCCCAGGGCGCCCAACTGCCTGATAAGGGAACACATGCCAAGCAGATCCACAAAGATTCAACACACCAAACGGTATTTGTCACTAATACTGGGTTGAAACAGCAGGGGTGCAGGATAAGGAGGTAGGCTTTCTGGGTCTCAGACTGTGACTCACTATTTGACTCTGAGGAGGGTACTTCCTCCTTTCAATTTTCTACCATAAAAGGAGTTAGCAGCATTATTTACTGAGATTCCACAAACAAATCTCATAATGGAACAAGGAAAAGGTTGTTTGCCTTGCCTGTTCTTTTCCACAAAGCAGGGTGACTGAGATGTCAACACGTACCAACCGAAGACAACAGAGGACACTGGAGAACCCGTGATATTCACAGGACTTCTGTACAATCTCCAACTCTTGTGAGTGCCATTTTACTTTCTACACCACCATTTTCTTTTGCGACAGTGTTTTGCTTTTAATCAAAGGCATTTTAATCTATGCTATCTAAATCCACCTTGATTTCACCTGTCATTTTCAGGACATATTCTTTAGTTTGTTTTCATAGGAAAATGTGCACTTGAAGCAAGAACTGTGCCCATTTGGTGCCAGGAATGGATCCAGGCTTGGAACATTTATTATTTCACAAAGATGGAGTATGATCCAGGCCTAGGGCTTCAGGCACTGTGTCCACCTCAGAGGCTATTGCCCATGTAGATAACTTGGGCTAAATATATCTTTTTCTCTCTTCTTCACAGTTTGCTCTTTTCCTAAACTGAGTTAGCTCCTCCCTCGCAAATATTCAAGTGTACCATTTCAGTAGGCATCTTATGATGAAGAGAGTAAAAGGACCAGAGACAAGGACTTTTCCCCCATGAAGATATTATCATAACAGAATGGTTTAAAACCATCACAGAGTGGGTCCTGATTTATAGGGAGAGAGAGGGTAGGGAGGTGGTAGCATAGACCAGACCATTAGGATGACGTCTCAGTCTTCTTTGAACCTTCCTTTTTATTAATTCATTTGTTCTTTCACTTACAAATACTTACGGAGTTACCTGCAAGCCCTTTTCCCTCTCCCTTTCATATCTCATTTGTTGCCAAATTGTGTTGATTAGATTTCTCAAAACATCATCTTGTTCATCCCTCCACTCTTATTGCCCTGACTCTAAGCCTACCCTTTTCCACCCCTCTTTAGGATTTTTCTTTTGAGACAGGGCCCCAAGGTTGTCCCAGACTAGCTCTGAACTCCTGGGTTCAGGGGTCTCCTGCCTCAACCCTCCTGAGTCACTGAGACTACAGGTGTATGCCACTGTGCCCTGCTAGGTGATCTTAATGATCTCCTAAATGGTCTGTGTTCTTACTAGTCTGTTTATGCTCAGATATCAGAAGATGCAAGAGTTCATCTAGAATACTCTGTGGGACCTCTCCCAGATCTGGTCACTCACTGTCGGATTCTAGGGTGAGCAATCAGCGGAGAGAAGAGCAACTGGACGCTGGTGTCCCCGCTTCTTTTAACCAGTAGGTGGCGCCTCCCCCTTTCAGGTGTCTTCAGTGGACTCTATGGCCCTGGAAAACCAGGGCATTTACTGAGCCCAAGGGATCTTAGCACAGAAGAAGGACATTTCTGGTCTCTATAGTTATTTCTGTGCAGAGCCAACTCATGAAACTGTACAGGTTATTCACTTCATGGGGGCAACAGACAAGGAGAGGATGCAGCCTGTGCTGCTGTAGGCAAGCCTTGGTACCCTTGCACGAGGCTATAGCTGGCCAGAGTAAGAGGTGTCTCTCTCTTTTTTTAATTGGCAAATAGGTGCTAATATGGAACCATGGCAGCTCTGCAAATGGCTCCTGCCCCAGCTCTCAGTCAGCCTGACTCAGACACATGCCTACTGTTGGACACAGTCTAGAATAGTGGTCTTGCGGTGGGACACATGGCAAATGTCCTTATGGTGTGAGACAGCAAGCCTATCATATTCTGGTCTCTCTCTCCCCACTTCCTCTGGGGGCTTAAGAGCACCTAGGCAGAGCTGGTGGTCACCATGCATCCTGGGAAATTAGATGAGCCCTAGTTCTTTGGTGTGGAGTTGCTGCAGGCTGGCCTGGGAGTTGGAATCTCTGGGTACTTTTTTTGTTTGTGTGGTACTGGGGATTGAACACAGGGCATTTGCACTGAGCTATACGCCCAAGCCACTTAAAAAATTTTTTTTCAGTCTGAGGAAATATCTCTCTAACTAGCCCAGGTTAGGCTCAAATTTGTGACCCTCTTGCCTCAGCTTCAAAGAAGGGTGGGATTACAGGTGTGCACCATCATGCTCAGCTTTTTAAAAGTCATCCTAATGTTTTTTGTTTTTTTTTTTCTAGTATTGGGAATTGAACTCAGGGTCTTTGCTCTGAGTTAGATCTCCAGCCCTTTTACTTTTCATTTAGAGACAGGGTCTTGCTAAGTCACTAAATTGCCCAGGCTAGTCTCACACTTGCAATTCTCCTGCCTTACCCTTTGGGAAGGCTGGGATTACCAGTGTGCACCACTACACCTGGCTTGGGTTCTCATTCTTGCCCTAATGATATTGGATAAATCTCTCTCCTGGCTGTAGTTTGGATTTTCTCTGTGCTGTAAGAGTCAGCTCCTGGCTGATCTCTCTTCCCAGAGGATAAGTACCCTGCTAAAGGGGTGGGAAAACCCCAATGAGCTGCACTCTGCCCAGAGCTGAGACATTCCTAGAGGAAACCTGAGGAATGTGGTTATTTACCTGGGATGCCAGGCCAGGCCCTGTCTGTGGGAGGAGGAGGCTGCTTTGTTGCTGTGGAAAGGGGAGGAGATTCGGCTGCAGACCTGGGTGAAAGGGGAAGGCAAAGGAAAAAACAAATAAAATCCAGGCCATCAGAAAGACAAGCTCGGCATTGGAACCATGAGAACTGTCTCCACCCTCTACTACCAAATCAGGTCTCACAACCCACCTCAAGCCCAGTGCAGAGGCCCCCACAGGCATAGCCAGGCATTGCCACACACAGGTGGAGGCGAACCAGACCAGGCACAGGGATAAACAGAAGTGTAAATAGCAATCCCCAAACCAGTCCTTCTGCTTGCACGCCTGCCTGGAGAGGTGCAGAGGCTAAGGAAGTTCAAGGCAATCTAGCTGGGATCTGCCTGGCAGGGCTGAGGAACCCAGAGGGGAGGGGAGTGGAAGGGAGGTGGGGGCGGCTACCAAGAACCCTGTGGGGGCCGAGGACTTCAGTGCTTCCGGCAGGGAAGTATCTGGGAGGGCCATAAAAACCCATTGGAATCTGCAACATGTCGGAGCAAGTAGATGGTGCCATACAGCTCTGAAGGGCACAGGGCTACGGTCAGAGGCTCCTGTGACCAGGACACTGTACATATGGGAGGAATGTCTGAGAATCTGGGAACTCCCTTAGGCAGAACAGAGCACCTCCTAGAAATACAGCCTGGGGACCTCCCCTCCTTTCCAATCCAGGAAAATTGCCTGTAACAGGCTCTGCCTGGTCAGTGACCATGACAGGCGTCTCCCCTCATAAGAGACCATAGCTGAAACCTCTAATTCTCACAGCAGGTAGTGATCAAACCACCAAAGCCGGTCACCCCAGTAACCCAGCACACAGAAGCACTTTGGGGTATCTGTTGCCTCTAGGTGTCACTGACGTACAGCATCTGCAGATGTTGACTTTTTTGCTCTTCAGTCTCAAAAAGTCAGGACATACTTGCTCTTTCTTAAAATAAATACGTGAGAAACCTCTCATAAGGAGCCCTGGATTTGGAATGTGGAGGCTGGTGTACTAATAGTAGTCCTAGCATTTATACTGAATTTTGAAATGTATGAAGTCTTTTCAACTATATCAATATTTTATAAGGTATGATTTTACCGTGATCCCTTTTCTAGATTTTGCCAAACTTGGGGCTGGGGATTTAGCTCAGCGGCACAGCGCCTGCCTGGTAAGCGCAAGGTTGTGAGTTCGATTCTCGGTACCAGAGAAAAACCAAAAAAAAAAAAAAAAAAATAGATTTTGCCAAACTTCTATTTTTTCAGTTTTTATCTTTTATTAGTTCCTGTTTGCATTACATAATGATCATATTCCTGTGGGGAGCTGGTGCATGTACATAACACATCTTAACTCTAGGGGGCTGGGGATTTAGCTCAGCGGCACAGCACCTGCCTGGCAAGCGCAAGATTGTGAGTTTGATTCCTGGTACCGGAAAAAACAAACAAACAAACAAACAAACAAAAAACACATCTTAACTCTTTTTATAAAATCTCCTTCCCTCCCCTCCATCTCTCTTTCTTTGGTACTGGGGTTCAAACTCAGGACCTTGTGCTTGCCAGGCAGGCGCTTGCACCACTGAGCTATCTCCCCAGCCCCGTTCCATCTCTTGATTCCCTTCCTATTTAAACAAAATCTCTCTCCATACTTCCTATTATCTCTCTTTTACTTTTCTCTTTATCTATATTTTGGGTTTCTCATATTTGAGAAACCATGCAGCATTTAAATGTTGGTCTAATTTATTTTACTTAACATTATGGCTGTGGAGGAGGAGATGGAGTTTGGTGAGTTTCCTGAGGACACACAGCCTCACACATTTCCTTCCAAATGTTAAACTTTTTTTTCATCCTACATCACATACCTAGCTCATTTGTTAGGTAGTAGGCAATTTTCAGATCACTGCAATTTTTTGAAAATGAATTAACTGTTTTATTCCCTTTTCTGTTTCAGGAGTATGATGTATATTTAGCTGAAATAAATACTTGCAGATTCAAATATGTTCCCACTCACCCTAATAATATGCTGAGATGCCCTGGAAACTAAGGATGGGGCCTATACTTGGGGCAGGTGCTAAGGCAGAAGGCTTTTTTTTTTTTTTTGGATGCTGGATTTCCAAAGCCTCTACTTGGGATCTGTACCTTTGACCAGAGTTTATACTTCCTCCATCGTTTTATTATGAATAGTTTAATCTGTTTGCTCTTAACCGGGGAGGAAGGTCCCTAGGAATATCTTCCCTGCCAGACCACTTGATAACCCCTCCTGCAGCCTGTGGGAGGCAGTGCTGCTCTACCCAAATATAAGCATATCCAGGCTTCTGGGAAGCGGAGACTCCAAAGAATTGGGACTCGTTTGCTTCTCTTTCCTGGCCCCTTCCCCCAGCCCTTCAGTCCCTTCAGCCTCACCTTTTCATGACTTTTAGGGGATGGCAATCCTGGAAGGAAGCTAGGCAGGGCAATAAGGCTGGAAGGACACTGTCAAGAGTCCTTCCTGAGTTCTAGGCAACCAGATGGTCTTAATAGCAGAGGGACAAGCAACTCCCGGTGTTCTACACCCAGCCAACAGTGACAGCTGCACTTGACTCATTGGTGTGAAAATCCCTGGATTCTTACCTTGCTGCCCAGTTTGGGTCTGAGAAAGTAGGAACTGGGACACTGACTGCAGATGACCAGGGACCAGCACAAGCTGTTGGAGTGGATGGAGAGAAGCCATGTCCTACACATGGGGAGATGCACGGATATCAGAGAACTTACAAACTGGGGACCCCTGCTCCCTCAGCCTGCAGCCCTCTGGGAGTTTGCAGGCAGTGACCTTGGCTCACGCCTCTGTGTGTCCTCAGAGTGTAGCACACAGCAGCTGGTCCATTCATGCTATTATGATAGCTTCTGTCCTCTGCCAAGTGGCCCTTACAATATCTATTACTCAACTCTGACCTCATGATTTAATTTTTCTAGTATCAGTCCCATCCCATCTCCCAATGCCCTGATGGCTGAGCATGGGAATTACCATATCTCAAATGTTTATCCTACAAATAGCTTGCAATCTCAATGGTCCTTTTTTCTTATAGTGATTTCAAGATTTGAGGTCCCAGGAGTCCTCTGTGATGCAGACACCCAGGGCTCTATGCCCCATGACTGGGCATAGGCCTGCATATGCAGTGACTTGATAAACATTGTTGAATGAAAGAGTGAAGGAATGGCTACATATTCTGTTCTTAAGCATTGCTGGAAGAAGGGTGCTCTTTCTTCCCCAGGTGACCCATGCTAAGGAGAGGTGGGCCACAAGAGTCTAGGCTGAAATGTTTGCTGCTACTGTCTCAGCATGTGTCTCCCTTCCCTCAGCAGCAGCCCATTCCAATTTGGCTTTGACATACAATCTTGGAGGAGGCAGAGCAGGCCCACTGGGGACAGAAATCTTCTGTAATTGTAGGAGTTGTTGTCATAGCATTAATGCCCTGAAAGTGGTCCAGCAGACAACAGCAGCATGGCTGCTAGCTCTTTTGCTTTGGCAAGACTAGCTCCTTTTTGTTTCATAGAGAAAACTGCTTCTTTATATTCTTGGCTAAGCTTCATTTTCACAAGGACAATTTTAGGAACCCCCACCCCACTGCGCACCCTGCTCAGGCCTCCTAGACTTTTCTCCCATTTCCTATAAGAGATTATTTTTCTTTCTTCTTTTGTTTTTTTTTTTTCCAGTACTGAGAATTGAACCCAAGGCCTTACACATGCTAGACCAGCTCTCTACCACTGAGCTACACCCCCAACCCTAGGTGGTTCTTTAGAACTATACTGATTCTCAGGTGCCAAGCATAGAGATCTAGTATTTTGCAGAGGGACTGAATTAAACTCAGTGGCTCTTGAGAATATCAGGGTTCTCTGGCATGGACTGACGCTTACCCCAGACATTTGGTTTCCGGACATCATGGCAGGTCCTTGGCTCAGGTGGCATGGTCGATGGGATAGGGTCTGCTGCAGGGAGTCACTGAGGTCCTCTGTTTTTATCTGCAAGTGAAGGTAGGGGGAGAGTGTCAGTTCTGGGCCTGTCTGGCCAGGCAGAAATAGAAATGTGGAGACCAAGACAGGAGATATGTGACAACCCAAGGAGGAGTGAGCTAGCTCAATGCCCACGGGCTGCAGCATGCTCTCCCTGTCAGAGTGTGCCTACCACCAGGGCTGCTGGTCAGTGTACCAACTGGACTCCCAAGTGCCAACCTGAAGTCCCTAGGAATATCTTCCTAGGGGAGACTGCCCTATGGGGAGTCTAGCGTGGGTAATGCTCTTACTCACTGAAAAGAGAAAAATCAGAATATCTTAGCAAGTTTTAAAAATAAAGCTTAATGAATTAAATTTTGGTTAAGTCTAAGATGATACCTTTTTTTTTCTTAAAGGGAAGGGATGTTCGAATTTCTTTTATGCAATGATGGTAATCCTAAATGGTATTTTTAAAAATCCCCAACTAAAAGAGTGAAAAAATAGCAGCCTTTTATTGATCTTCTGCAAAATCTGTTCTTTAGTTTTCCTGCATCGATACCCCAAACCCCAAACCCCAAAGCCTGTGAACTACTGATCTGGAGGATTCTTTTTCCCTCCATCACCACTTGTTCTTCAACATCTATGTGCTAAGTTGCCTCTGCAGTGGCCCTCTTAGCCTGTGTGGCTTTGGGGAGAATATCTGCCCCTCTCCGTACAGGCAAGGACATGTCTTCCTCACAGCCATGGCTGCAGTTGCAGCCTGAGGGGCCTGTGGTGGTTTCCAATTCTCTTTAGTCTCTACCATCCTTCAATGACACATGAACCACCCACTTGTGGGCTTTCCAGGTGTCCATGGGCAGGGCAGGAAGTACTACTGTGCTCGCCCTCCCCCACCCCAGGACAAATGCCTTTTGCAGCTTTTCAGGAAGCTCCACTGGGAGGGGAGCCAAGTGACTCCGATTCTCACACTATGGTAAGGGGCACAGAATCTAGACCACACCTTATAGGAGACATTGGTGAGACCCTCTGACTAGGATATCTAGTTTCCTACCTAGATGGAAATTCTTCACAACAGAGATTCACTTTCTTGGTCTACACTGAGGAGACCATTGACATTTGCAACCCTTTCCTGTTGGTATTTGCTTCACCCAATGAAAAGTTGAGACTAGCAGATGTATTTGTGCTTAATCCCTGTGGAAAATGGTGCTTTGGATCTCTACAGAAAGAATTGTCTTTGGTTTGACAGGAAGGTCCTGCTGAATGACACTGGTGACTTCCTGCAGGGGGAGCTACTTATGGTACTTTGCACGTAGTGAGAACCTAAGGAATGTCAGCTGAATAAAAGACAAACAAAACCCAGCCCTGCAGAGCCTCTGATGAGGTACAATGAGAAAAACACCGCACAGGGGCCATCGCTGACCCGGTCCTAACTCTGACTCTTGTAATCTTGAGCAACCTCTCAGCCTCCATGGGATGTGGTTCCCCAGCTGTTGTCGTAGCTACATGGTTTTTCTCCCTTTCAATCATAACGCAGAATGACCAGCTCAAATCCCTTGTGCATTTGATGAATGTAGCTGGTCCTGGATGCTGTAGTGTTCTCTAACACCACACTGAAGCCCTGGGTGCACAGAAATTGCTAAGAAGTGCCTCTTTCAGGTATGGGCTTTACAAATCATTCTGCTCACTTAAGGAGACCATCCTGGAGCCCTGGAAGCAAAGAGGAAGAAGGAAGAGAAATGTCAACAGCACTATGGGGACAGAGAGTAACTTTCTGAAAACTCCAAACACATGGCACTTGGGTGGTCTTCAGGGAATCCACTTTCCCCAGCCCACTCCCTTTTAACTCTGCCCATCATGCTTGGTGCTTCTAAGAAGTGCTAGTGTCTGACTTCTGTGCTCAGAAATCAGCATTTCCATGTCCTAGATTCTGTAGAAGCATTTGTTAGCAGGTTTTTAAAAACTAGAAATAGATGATGAACTTCTTTTGAAACCACCACCACCATCATAACAGCTTCAAAGTTTGCTCTGCAAAGACACTTTATGTAGACAAATTCCTTTGGCCAGCTTCCCATTGCCCCCTCTCTCCATACTGTCCCCCCTCTGGCCCCAGGGCGTGCCCATCCCAGAGGGGTACTGGGGAGTGGGGAGAGGGAAAACATGGAAACTCAGAGGTGAGATCCTGCTGGTGGAACCACCTAGGACTGCTTGGCAGAGCTCCAGCTCCAAGGCAAGTGGCGGGTTCCCTCCAGACTCATTATGCGCAATGGAGAGATAAGGAGGTGCAGCCATGACAGAGCTTGAAAACATCTGCTTTGCCTCCAACCTGGGTGCTATCTGTTAGAATCAGTGCCAGGTCTTCCTGCAACACTTAATTTCAGAAACCAGCGCCATCATAAAAGAAAACTCACCCTTTCATCTGCTTCCTGGATCAATTGCCCTCCAAACCCTTTTGGGGGACAACCTCGACCTCCCTGCGCTGAAAATGAAATGCCTGATAGTAGAAAAGTCCTTGGGGTGTAGCCTGGGCTTTCTGACAACTCTGTGTATTACTCTTCTTCTTTTTTTATATTTGTCTTCAAATGAGAGTAACCTATTACTCTCATTTTTCTTAATTCCTCACCCCTGCATGTAAGGGACTGAGAATAACCCAAAAAAGAAGACAACCCTAAGTAAACCAAATCAAAAGACAACCAGGAGAGTTCTTTCTGGATGACAAGTTTGGCTCAGCTTCACCAGGCTGAGGTACACTCAGTAGTGGGACACTTGCCTACCATGTGTGAGGCCCTAGGTTCCATTCCCAGCACTACAAAATCAATCAGTCAAATCAAATCAAATCTCTGCTTTGGTCAGCAGATCTCAGAAAAGGCATATGGGAGAAGAAGGGAGGCAGGGTTGACTCTTACTGACCCTAGCATTCTTCTTGGACACTCTCAGGGGCTTAGAAACTTAGAAATTAAAAAATAAGTCCTCTCTAAATCAAAAACATCCCTTTCGCAGCTGTCGAGTGGAAAAGGCTGGAACCTTTCCAGACAACTGGGTGTTGGCTGTGGGTCTGGAAGATGAGATAGAGATGCTTCTGTTGGATCCCATTGACTTCTAAGGTGAGAACCGCAGGCAAGTTGGATGAAAACCCAATTTTCCCCATGCTTGTGAAAACCCAACCAAATCCACAGCCAGCCTGGAGTCATCGTGTCCAGGTCCCTTGGCAGTTCTCACAACAGCAGGAGATTTTTCCAGGCTCTACTTGAGACAGCTAGTGCTTGGGGACGGGGGCCACTATAGTGCTCTGCCCTATGCCATGGAGCTCCAGTTCACCTATCAGACAAGGTTTCTGAGTTTAGGATCTTCTCCACCCACTGTGCTGTGCAAAGGTGTTACACTGAGTCTTGGGTAGTGACCAGGGAGGTAAAAATGTATCATGAGTGTTTATCTTTTCTATTCCAAGTGAACTCTCTGACTTCACTTTACAAAGTAGTGGAGGCCTTATTCTGGGAGGAAGAAGCCCCTTCTAAGGAGGTGGAAGCACTTTATACATTCTGCACTGGTCTCTACTTCCCATCTCAGAGGTGAGGATACAGATTTATCTTCCCATCTCACAGAAGCCCAGAGAGCTTCAGAGATGGGCATAAAGTTCTATATATAGCAGGACACTCAAAAAGTTCTGACAAAAGCATGGTCTCCTGGCCCTCCCCGGGTGCCCTCTCCCCCAGACAATACCACAGATGTCCCAGACATAGTAGAGAGAATACATCATAAGTGATGGACAAGGCAGTATTCCAGCCCAAAATGTATACTTGAAAGTTGCGGCTGACCATCAGGTTTTTGTTTCTGTTCTGTGGTGCTAAGGATCAAACCCAAAGCCTTGCGAATATTAAGCAAGTGCTCTACCACTGAGCTATACCCCCAATCCTTTTTACAATTTGTTTTGGGATGGGGGTCTCGCTGTGTTGCCTAGGCTGGCACTGAACTTGCAATCTTCCTGCCTCAGCCTCAGATTATAGTCGTGTTCCACCATGCCTAGCCCTGACCATGTTTTTGGGTCTTGGAATGGCACATGATAGGGCCGGAGTACTTTTCCTTAGCCCCGTCCCTGGGATATTTTCACATGACCCTTTCTTGGGGGGAAAACAATCCAACACTAATGAATATATCACTAGTGATGAACATGATCAAAGCTGTTGTCCTAGTTGCATAACTCGTTTGTGGAAAGTGTTTCATAAACATTTCACAAGAAGGAGCATTTCAAAGCGTGAACATCTCCCAACCTGCCTTCAATTACAAGCAAGAGTTTTTTCTTTTCCCTTCCCCCACCCCTTGTACACTTCTCCCTAGCAATGAGGAAGAGTTTCTGTTTTGTAACTGGTCTACAAAGAGCTAGCAAATGTGTTCCTCATGAAAACATTCTAAAAATATATTCCAAATGGCAGAATGGGGCAGCCAGCTAACTCATCTCAGGTGAACAGGGCTGAAAGTACCTGATTGAGGTGAATGTTGGTTGTAGTGTTTTTTGGTTTGTTTTGTTTTGCTTTTCAGTGCTAGTGATGGAACCCAAGGCCTTGCACATATTGGGCAAACGCTATACCCCTGATTCACTGTCCACTGTCCACTGTATTCTCAGTTGGGAGGCTTTCCTGTCTCCAAAGCTCCTGACTACTTCCTAAGAGCCCAAAGCTCCTTTCCTCTGGTTGCCCCCAGGAAGCCTGTAGGAAGTGCCTGGGGAGAGATGGCCTCACACAGTCCCTGGTCTCTAGTCAAATCTATGATAGATCAGCCTGGATGCATCTTTGTCCATGTAAACTGGGATCATCTCTTTAAGAACAACAAACTTCTATGCAAAAGAGGGATGGAAGAGAGGAGATATGAAGTCCTTTAATAAACAAATGCTCCTCCGGAAGGTGGATCCACTTGGAGTTGCTCCCCTTGAAGTGCAGGTTTCTAAAGACAGGTCCTTGCATTTCCTGCTTGTTCCTATGCTGGAAATACTACCAGCTTCTCCATCTTGCTGTTTAAGACTTTGGCTAGCTGTAGTTCTTGGGACAGAGCAATGCGAGTGCTGACACATGGGTGAAAATCCCCTTCATTTGAAGCCTGTGAAAGTTTTCTTCCCCTCTGAATATTAAGTCCCTGAATCCAAGTTTTAAAACTCCAGGAAGAGTCTGTGCCATCATAAATGTTTCCCAGTTTCCAGGACTTGAACAATTTTAACTAAGGCACTGCTGAATAGCCCTCCTGAGACTCTTGTAGTGTCCTGTCCCCTGATAGCTGCATCAGTAGGGTTCTATTGTCTGTGCCCCCAACCCCTTTTGAACCAGTCTTCTTGTTCTTTTGGTGACCTGTCTGGCAGACAGGAGGGCAGAGCTACCCTCTCTAGGTCTTCACCTGGGCAGGAATATGACCCAGAACCTTTGACCTTTTTTTTTTTTTTTTTTTTTTTTCATGAGATAGGGGCTCCCTGTGCAGTTCAGGCTGGCTTTGGACTTGTTATGTAGTACAGTCTGGCCTCAAATTCACCATCCTTCTGCCTCAGCATCCCAAGGGCTTACATTACAGGTGTGCACACAGGTATACTGTTGCATACAGGTGTGTCTGGCTCACATAGGTTAGAGGCAAATACTGAGCACTGTATTCTTTTTTTTTTTTTTTTTTTTTTTTTTTTTTGGTTTTTCTCCGGTACCGGGAACCGAACTCACGACCTTGCGCTTGCCAGGCAGGCGCTTTTGCCGCTGAGCTAAATCCCCAGCCCCTGAGCACTGTATTCTAAGAACTGTTTCAAATTGGAGAACTTATTCCTGGGGAACTCTAGTGTATGAATGCAGCTTATCATCATGCTGAGTTCTTTTATATAAATCTGGGCTGCCCACCTCCAGTACTGAGGATTGAATTTAAGGCCTTTGAATTTAAGATTGAACTATAATTACCCCCACACACACTTTTTTATTTTGAGAAAAGGTCTCACTAAGAGTGCTGAGATTATGCATGCACTTCCACATTTGGCTGGATTTATGGAAGGACTTTGTATTTATGCACGTATTTATGGGAGGACTTTGATGTCCCTTTTAGAGCTATGTATAGCTGGGCATCCCTGTAATCCCCACCCTCGTGAGGCTGAGACAGGAAGATTGCCAGTTTGATACCAGCTTGGCCTACATAACAAGTTTAAGGTCAGACTGGACTACATGAGCACACAGCAAGATTTTGTTTAAAAACAAAACAAAACAAAAAAATTAGTTGGGGATAATTTTAAATTTAATTTAAATTTAATTTTAAATTAAATTCCAGGAAATAAACACAAGGCTAAGGGCACCTGATTCAGGGTGCCATCCCTACCTCTGATTAGATGTATGACCTAATACTATTTCATTCATCTTTGTAGGTCAGGAATATTCCTCCAGGTATGTAGGAAAATAGACTATATACAATCTATTTAAGAATGTATAATGTATAAAAGAGTAGAGGCCTGAGATGCAGCTCAGTGGTAGAGTGCTTGCTTACTAGTGTGTGCAAGGTACTAGATTCTGTCCTCAGTATTGCAAAAAATAATTAATTAATTAATGAGAGTAGGAGTAGTCTTGTAAGCATGTGAGTATGTTTATTATATTGCTAGACCTTTTCTACATTCGAAAAGACCAGCACTTGGAGGTGTTAAGTAACTTGCTGAACATCACATTGCTAGTAAATAGTGGAGCTGATTTCAGTCCAAGTCTGTCTGACTCTGCAGGTCTTCTCTATAATCCTGATCCTCACTATGTGTCATGGAACCACTGAATTATAGACTCTTTAAGGTAGCTTGGAACAGGTTGTGTCAGCTACATGGCAATTATTCAAAAAGTGTCAATTCTCTTCCTTCACCGTTAGAACTGGAGGAGATGTACACATTACTTGGTTCATTTTACAGATATAATTCCTGAAGCCTAGAGCAGGGATGTAACTTACTCAGGAGACACAGGTAGAGCTGCAACCAGCTAGGGGCAAGTAGGACAGGTTTCCAAACTTCCCATCGACTATCTGATTAATTCCTGTGCATTATGCTATAGCTCCATCATCTATTTATTTTCTTCTTCTTCTTCTTTTTTTTTTTTTGAGACAAGGTTTTGCTATATAGTCCAGGCTGGCTTTGAACTCACTATGTAGCCCGGGCTGGTCTCAAACTCACAGCAGTCCTCTTGTCTCAGCCCCCTGAGTGCTGGGATTAATTAATAATTAATGCCCAGCCCACCTCCACTGTCTGTTTCTATTGCTTAAAATGTTGCTTACTCTAGCTCCTGTAATAACTGAGTAGCCCTAATCCCAGTGTCTTACTGAGATTGAGTCTCAAAAGAAAAGCCCCACACAGAGTTTTCAGTTACTACACAGAGTAAAGTTAAGATGCAGATGAAGAATATTATCTATTTGATGTGGTTTGGAGACCAGCATTCTGTGTTTCCTTGACTCTGACATATACAAATTTACTCCAGGGGCTTGGTATTTGCTGAAGAAGGGGAAGAGGGGTTAAGAAGGGGAAGAGAAGGACCAAGCTTTTTATGAACTTTCCATCCTACTGTGGGGTTCCAAATGAAATTGATAAAAGGAAGGGCAGGTGTCCTGCCTGCTTAGGAGACACACATGTGTGCAGGACCAGTGTATGGTTGCCAAGCACTACACAGATTAACTCCATGAATGTCAGCTCAAGAAAGACACAAAATTACACTTGTAAAAAGAATTAAGATGTGTGATGTACATGTACCAACTCCCAAACAAGTATAATCATTATGTACTGTAAACATGTACTAACAAAAATAAAAATAAAAGATAAAGCACTTTAAAAACACTCTAAAATATAATTGCCATTTGTTCTTCATTATAATTCAATAATTTTTACAGATGTGGAAACTGAGAACTTAAGTGACATGAAGCTCAGAGAACTTAAGTAACATGCTCAATGTCCCACAGCTAGGAAAGGCAGAGACCAGTTTTCTCTCTGGACTCTTGATCTCCATACCCCACTGCTTTGCCTTCCTACACACTGAGCAGCTCTATTGCACCTAACAACAGAATTTTTGAAGCCCTGGAAGCTACTGGGATGTGCTGGTCAACTCCTGCCTCTTCATGTACTATATATATTATCTTTTTTATTTTAAAGAGAAAAGAACAAAAACAAAATAACAAAAACAATAAAAACAATACAGAATTTCAAACAAGATGATAGGGAATTAACAATGGTTGTTGTATTACATATTGTTATTTTCAAAGTAGTCGCTCAGATGACCAGATATAGGCATGCAAGATTTGTCATACAATTAAACATTAAATGTTCCTTTTAATGAGCCAATAGAAATAGATATTGTGAAAGGGGAAGAAACTGCTCAAAAAGAAAGAACAACCGGGATGAGGGAAAGGAGAAAAGAAAGAAGGGGGAATATATATACACACACAGGATAGCTAATTGTATACCATTTTTATGTACAGTGCATGGTTGGAGTAAACATTGCTATAAGTGTAGCCTGCCCCATAACATTTCTTTTCCCCATGCAGTTTAATTCAACAAACATTTATAATGCACCTATTGTATACCAAGAGGCAGTAGGGACTCAAAGATGAATAAGGAGCTCCTAGTTCAATTAGACAACTCAATCAAAAAGCCACCTCCTACAGCGTGATACATCTAACAATCGGAAATAGGTGCAGGGTAGCATGGAAAAGGCTGCAATTCTCCAATTCAAGGAGGAAGATAGCTAGAGAAAAGGGAATGGGACAGGGAAGGCTTCCAAAAGAAAAGTCCTACTGAGTAGCCCCAACAGATGAAGAGGAGTTCACCAGGTAGAGAAGGCAAAGGAGGGCATCCCAGGAAGTAGTAGCAGCTTGTCCAAAGTCACAAAGGTAAAACAGCCACTTCCTGCCAAGAAACTCCAAGAAATCTCAGACTGCTGCTGTGCAGGGTGGGTGATGCCATGGCCACAGGCAGGACCAAGGAGGGGAAGACTTGTGTATTGTCCCGAGGAGTTCAAGCTGGACTCTGAGGGCCATGTGACTAGAGTGAAGGTGGATGACATGGTGAGATGTCAGCGTAGTTCAACTTTAACAGCCACGTGGAATGTAGATTTGAAGAGACTGTAGGTGTACTATGGCATGCAGGACAACTAGGTAAAGAGCTATGTTCTGCAATAGTTTAGGTGAGAACTGATGTGGACATGCCTATGGCCAAAATTGTAGGCATAGGAAGAACAGATAGAATGGAGTGCTTTTATTATATAAATTATAATTCTAGCTCTATAGATTTGTTCTATAACAAGAGATTGTTTATTTCAGGGGTTCCCTGTTGAATGCCTGTGAGACTAGAAGAACTATCACAGAAAAAAATAATCTAGAGGAGTCCTCCAAACCAAACTGCTAATGAAAGGTCAAGTAGAAAGCATGTGGCATTCTACAAGGTATTTATTTCCTGTGTTATATATTTCTGCAGTATTTGATTGATTTTTTAACTTAAAATTTATTTTATTTTACTTTTTGTTTTTGCAGTGCTGGGGACCTTATACATGTCAGGTAAGAGCTCACCACTGAGTCATCTCTCTGGCCCCCAGTGTGGATTTTTAAGAGCTAAGTATTAATTTTAAATTAGGAAAAACTCAGAAATTAGAAAACAATAAGTATTCAAAATGTCATGTATCTAAATAGGACATTATCATTGACAAGGTGTTGAAATTAATTGTAGAGTCTGTCTCCTCATAAGAAGGATCCCTTGAGAATTTCAAAGACACAATGCCCAAATAAACAAAGGCACACACAAACATATGTATGTACATTTCCATATATATATAACTCATGCACAAATATATTTATCCAACAACTAGAAAATTGGCTGTTCATCTCACACATTCTGAGTCTTGTGTTCCAGCAGGTAGCACCAGGGTTGTAGCATGTAGACTCACTTGTATGTTACCGTGGTGCTTTACAGTTTACAAAACACCTTCAAATACATCATTATTTCTGACCTTCAGACTACTCCCAGAAGATCAAAAAGGTGGGTAACATTATTCCTTCTCTACAATCAAGAAAAACAAGGTTCATGGAAGGTAAAAGATATGTCTAAGATATATGACTGGCTTGCAGAAGAGCTGTAATCAGAACACACATCATCTAATTTAAAATTTGATATACTTGAAAATGCCTAGGACTTCCTGAGGAAGCTTCCAAAGTAAGTGGATTTTCGAAGTCACTAAAATATATCCCTTGAAGCTCCAAAGCTCTTTATTTCAGCTCTAGATAGATATTTATTAGTTTATTTTTAATAACAATCTTGCATAAGGGTATTATCTATATCCCTATTTTCCCTTAAAGTGTACCTGAAAGCTAATTCAGTCAGTGAGTCACAGTCATAAAGTTGAGCTCCTTTTAAAAACAATCATGCCCTCAGGGACACTGAAGTGTTTGGCTTCCATTGGCCAATGTACTATATGGCCCTAGACAGATTATTTTGTAGCTCTGAACTCTAATTTTTCTAGGATTTTTGTCTCCTTTTTCACAATCAGGCTTTCCCCTCCTACTGTCAGTATATTTGCTTTTAGAACCCCTCTATTCCAGCTAGAATTTGCAGGTTTTATTTTCTAAGGTGCAGAAGAGACAGAGCATTAATTAAAAATCAGAATTGTTACAACCATTTCTAAAATGAAAGTTTGAGGCTTCAGGTCCTTTAGTCTTAGTGGGGTTCTAACTAAATGAAGCAACTGGCTGTGTGGATAAGTGAGATAATTAGTACAGCACCCCAATGCAGCTCTCTTTTAACACTTGGCTTGCCCCCTGGTTTCATTTCTATTGAGTACATGCCTATCTTGTTACCCTTATTAGCCTGGGACAGGTCTCTAGGTACAATGGCTGATTCGACCTATGCAAATGACATTTTAAGATAATTCCCGAAGGCTGGGAACAGCTACCAAATTTGTTATGGAAAGGCTGAGGGAACTTGAGCCAAGAGACTCTCTTCATGGCATATAGGTTGATCATCCTGCATCTGAACTGCTCAAGAGCAGAAGTATTTCAGTTTTTGAATTTTAGAATATTTGCATACTTCTAATGAGATATATTGGGAGTGGGACCCAACTCCAAATATGAAAGCTATTTCAGGGAGGATTTTCCCTATTTTTGTCATCAAAACTATATGAAAATAATGATTTTGCACACTTCTTACTTGGGAAACTTATCTTGCTTACTATGCTTAGTGGAGAATGTAATGCTTGTCATTTAGTACTTATTAAATGTAGGTGAAATTAATGTGTGAATACTTTTGACAATCCCATGGGAAACGGTTTCAGAGAAGTCAAGTGATTTCTCAAAGGCCATACAGCTAGGAAGTGGCCAGTATTTGAACCCAGGTCTAAGTGGATTCAAAATCAACCCTCTTTCTGCTGTACCATGTGATTTGAAATGTCATGCCAAACCCGTCTCATTTCACATGGGGTTCCCAGAAGATGGGACAGGGCTCTGCTGTGGGCCAGTCTTGCTAGGAATGTTAAAACTCAGTTGGATAAAGATGTAGCATGTACACCTAGTACATTTCTATGTGAGGAGCAGGGCCTGGTAACACTTTGCACAAAAACATCAATATTTAAAAAATTTAAAAAGCACTTGAGTATATGTAGTAAAGCAAAAAAAAAAAAAAGTAACAAGGTAAAACATAAGAACAAATGGAAAAACCTTTGCTTAGACTATTAACTGCATAAGACAACAGTTTATCATAAAAATGCTTGATAGATATTAATTGACTTGAAGGGCATGTAAGTTGATTGTGTGACATGATTATCTTTTAAAAATCTGTGAGATAGACTGTACTAACAGAAGCAGAGTACCTGTTGAGGGAGGCTCCTCTACTTGATCATTTCATGAAAGAAGGCTTTATTACTCCTTTATTTGTAGCTGGCATACATGGAAATTGGGGCACAATAAATAAGAGTGCCTGCTCAGTAAAAATGTCTTGAATGAGAAAGTGGCTGGATGGATGGATGAACAAATGGCCATGCTGTGGCCTGGTTTAACTGGACCTCACTGAGTACCAAGTCTTACATCCTTGGGGCTGCCTACGTACAGAGGGCAACTGATAAACAGAAGCATGCACTTGTTAAGGCAATAAGGTATAAATGAGGTCAAGGATTTTAACTGAGCATCACATATATATAAAACGAAGCAACCTAATACCATCAGTAGGAGAAAAGAGAACTAAAATTGCGTTAAAACAATATACTACTTTATGTTCATTAACAAAAATCACATTTAGTATATAATGCCATGAAACAATCTATAAATCTTATTTTCTTATTTTAAAATGTATTTTTGTAGTACTCGGGATTGAACCCAGGCACTTGAGAGCATGTTAGGCAGGCACTCTCACACTTATCTACATCCACAGATCCTTTCTTCAGTTTTTATCTTTAGACAGAGTCTCACTAAGTTGTTATATTGGGCTTGAACTTGAGATCTTCCTGCCTTAACCTCCCAGAGTTCTGGGATTACAGGCATGTATCACCACACCTAGCCTCAACCCTTTTAAAAATTTTTCTTTTCAAGTAGGGTCTCACCAAGTTGCCCAAGCTGGCCTCAAACTTGAGATCCTTCTGCCTTAGCTTCCTGAGTGGTTGGGATTACAGGTGTGCACAACTGCACCTGGCTAAGTTTTTAAATTTAAAAAGACAGTTGCAAAAGAATACAGGCCACATCATTTATACATGTGTATGTATTTTTAAATGCCACAACCATTTATATGCTTCCCTTCCTATTGCATATCCAGAGGAAAAAAGTATTTTAGACTTGTATATACTATATTGGTAACTGAAATTACCATTGGGAAAAGGACTACAACTAAACAGGGATTAAAAAGTCTTTCTTTTTAATTCTTGTGAAATTTTTTATGACAAGAAAGTACTCGTGTACTTTATGTATCTAATTGCTTTTCTGAAGGCAATGTGAAGCAGGACATGTAGAATCATTTACTGAGCCCTGAATATTTACAGAGAAAGGAAAAGATTGTGGGGTGATGACTTATCTTAAATACTGAAGGGCTGTCACGTGAAAAGGAGCCACTTGGGCCTGGAGCTGAGGCAGGAATCATTGCCCACAGGGAGGTGACAGGCACCTCCTTTAACAGGAGAGAGAGCCCCTGACATTCCAGTGGAGATGCAAGTCTGGAGCAGAGTCTTCTAGAGAGTGAGCTTAGAATCCTGGCAGAGCTCTGGCAGAGACCTGGGGTCAAGGGCATTGACTGAGAGCAAGGGGTGTCAGTAGTTAGGATTCATGAGTTGATGTCACTTGGTCGTAGGCCTTTGCACTTCATGACTAACACTTCCTTTTAAAAAAAGAATTCTATTTTGTCAAATAGGGATATTAAAGTAAGTAGTGTCATCTATGCTCATCACTGTTTCATGATATAAGATAAATATTTTAATATCAACAAATATGAAACCTTGTATTGTAAAAATGGAGTATATTTGGCTTTACAAAAGTTTGGTTTTTTCCTATTTGAATTTCATTGCAGTGAAAACTGAGCCCTAAGTTGCTTTATTATGAATAAACAAAAGTGTCGATGCACAGGATAAAAGTGAAGGAGAAGAAAGCCACAGGGTGGGGACAAGGGAGCTCTGTGGAGCACTGCTGAGAATAGAGGACAGCCAGCCTCCAGGACACATTAGCTTCGGGAGTCTGGGTGCTGGGCTAGGGTGTAGCTCAGTGGTAGAGTGCTTGCCTAGCAAGCATGTGGCCCTCGGCTCCATCCCCAGCACTGCAAAGGAGAAGAACAAAACCACCAAAAAAACAGAAAATACCCCCTTGCCTCTGTACCCTAGAGTTGGAGGTTCACCTCAAATTTCATTATTCAGTTTATGAAAAATAAAGTCACCCAGATAATAGGTGTCACAGGCACTGCCATCATATTTCTTCTATTAAAATGGCCAGAAGAGGGGACCCAGTAGGTTGCTCTAACTTTGTAAGGGGCCTTTCCAGCGTGGGCCCTGTTCTGGCTTGGGATAGTTAGCTGAACTACCAGCCTCACATTGGGTTGGCCAGACTCCTGCACACAGTGCCTGGGTCCCAGAGATGAGGCCCTACCTGCCAGCAGCCATTTGGCCAACAGCTGGCAAGAGGTGCAGTTAGGAAATATTTACCAGAACCTACTGGATGGAGCCCACTCCATTTTCTATTTGCATAAACCCAACAAGCTCCCCTTCTCAGGGGAAAGGGGTGACTTTCTGTGGAGCACTGACTGGGAACAAAGGCAACAGGAGCAGAACAACATGCAAAGCAGAAAGGGGATTCAGAGAATCCATGATGAAGGGAAGGTGAGTGGGCAGGTTCATTCCAACTGTCCAACCACACATTTATTTAGGAAATACAGGTTGAATGCCTACTGTGTGTCAGGCCCCGTTCTACTAGAATAAACATAGTGTAGAGTATAGGCCTTTTCCTCAAATACTCTACTGTCTGGGTGCAGGGGAGGAAGACACAGCAGAAGCCCATCAAGGCACAGAAGGCAGAGTGGGTGGTCCTGGAGGACCACATGC